TAAATCTACAATTCAATATATAATAATACCACATTAGAGTAAAAAGGAACTACTAAATATATTCCAATAATTTTTTTTGCTTGAATGTAGAAAAATAAATCTAAAGGACTAATTATTACCTACTTTATTTAATTTTCCATTTATTTTTCTATTATCAGAATTGTTTGAATTTTTTCTTTTGAGTAAACTATTATCGTCGGCCTTTAAGTTATCATATTTCATTCTGATAATTGTTCTTAGTTTGCAAAAGAGTTTTTACAGCTCCTGGCTCTTTTCCTTATCCATTTGAATGATGTTTTTCGAAAAGCTTGTTATACTTTTTAATTTTCTTCTAACCAATTACCTGTGGGTTCAATAAGACCTCCCAATAAAAGTTGCTGGAGCCATGAAGGTATATTATAATCATGATCTTCTGCTTTTATTTTCTAAGTATAATCGCTCAAACCAGGTAGATAATTTTTATGCTTTTTAGCAAAGTATCCAGCGATGTATTCTAAAGAGTCCACTGTTATTTCTGGAATATTTGTATTTGAAGTTGAAGGAATGTTAGTAGAAATATCAGAACTACTAGATGAAAATGAGCTACCAAAATTTGATACTATTGTCTGCTCTGAAATCGTGTCTGCGTTATTTTCAATTTCCACTTTTTTCATGACTTCTTCTATTGTCGGTTCTTCAGTATTTACAGCAGCCTAGAGGACGATAGAATTTTTTCCAGAATGATCATTTTGATTCGGTAAATTCAAACAACGAAAAAAAGTTCCACAATGACAAAAAACAAACCTCAAAACGGAAGAAAATACCAAAGTCCTATATGGCGTCTACTTGTTACACCAGTTTATAAAATGTCCAAAAGCTCAAAAAAATACGACTTTCACAATAACAATTTCAATGTTTAAGATACCTAATTGGTATAGTTAAATAAAAATTTAATCAAAATAAACAAAAACAATGTAATACTGTCTGAAAATAATCCTCAAAAAATGTTAAAATAACACACAGTCTTATGACAGCTACTAAAAGTGTCACCAGTGTTACGTCACATCTGCTCGGCGTTTGTTTAACGTGGCGATATATGTAAGTAAGCAATCCTGTATGTCCATAATCGTTGGGCTGTGGACACCACACTTTGCATATCATGACTACCTGCTTTGGATATCTGCTGACAGTGATAATATTGTCATATCAGTGGAAGTGAGAGTGTCAATTAGCGGTGATTGCATTATGAATAATTTTACCCACGGTGAAATGGCTGACATGCACTTTATTTATGGATTATGCGGAAGAATCACGGAGAATTTGTTGGCTGTGGTGCCCGCTCTGGAACTAATGATTCCAATCTAGTTCGGGCTAAATACGCACTTTATTACTTCAAATAACTGTAGCTAATTTCAACCAAATCGTTGTGGGGATATTTATGATATTTTATAAATACCGGTTTTTTAGACTTCGACGCCCTGTATCTCAGAAACGAAGCAACTCCGAATATATGTTCATTAAATCTTTTCTCCTTAAAACGATCTAACAAATCATCATCTGAAGTTTCGTATCGTAGTTAGGAAACACCCTGTATAACATTTCGCTTGATCGCAGTTGACATACTGCAGATACATTTTCATTCTTGAAAAATCATCTTTATTCTTAATTACCGCGTAAGCGAAATGAAATCGTGTGACAATATGAAAGGAAGATATGTAGTCCATCTAATGTCTCTCCAGAAGAATGTGGTGAGGCGAGGTAGGTCTAGAAGGATCTCCATGGCCGCTGACGGTGTGGTACTGATGGTACCACTGATGGCCAGACAAGCCTACCTTATATGACAATTTGAAAGGTGATAGGATGATAGCATTTCAAATAGACCATGCGAGTCAAAAGTACATGTGACGTCAAAAAACTCTATGAGTCGATGCTTCTGGCATAGCTTTGAATATGAAAACTTGTATTCTCTGGAATTTGTCCGAGGGGCATCTGAAGTGGTTCGCGGGGCGATAAAAATATATCTTGTTATGTATTCTCATCAGTTTGGAAACAGTCAAACTCTGTTTTTCATGGTTGGCTATTCATCTTTGTTACTCTTTGTTACAGTTGATAATAATTTTAATGGTGTTCTGCTACCAACCTTTGTTAGTAACTAGTTTTGAGTTATCGGATGCCGAAAAATATTGAATATTTGTAATATTTTCGTTTCTATGAGGAGATTCATTAGATAAATGGTGATTTACAAATAATACTGTATGGTGCCTTATCGTGAAAGTTACACTGTTTCCACGCCAAAAATTGCGGATCATGTGCAACATAATTTTATATAGAGTAGGTTCACTTAAAATTTTTCGATTTTCAAACTGCTACTTCTCTAAATTGTTCTGGATTCTGAAAATTCATTTGGAAAATACTACCTACTTATTTTTCAAATCATATCAGTTACCTGAAATATGAGAGGTAACAGTTACCTGTTACCTCTCATATTTCATATTATAATAATACATCAAGAAAACTGATAAGGCAAATTTTGTACTACAAATCAAATCAATGAAATTATAGTGAAGATATATTTTATAAGTGATTAAGGAGTGAAACCCAGTAAGTAGAATCCATATTGTGAATTTATTATAGTTATTTAATAGAATACTCAAGTTAGAATTGTAATATTTTTAAAATCCCTCTTCACTGCACCCATTCTGAGTTTTCCAAAGATGTCTCAATGTTGAGACGAATGCTTGACGTATGGTGAAAATATAAGAGATTTCGTTTTTGATATTTTCTCAAAGAGAAAGACCAACCACTTCTGTTTTTTGGAAAAATACCTTTTCATTGAAAACACATTTTAAAACAAACATTTTCAAACACAAAATATTTTTGATGTGATCATGTATCTACCTGTCACTTCATTTTTGGAAAAGTAGTTATTTCCTCTAAAATTAAGATACGCAATGAAAAAAATTTTGCAGAACACATGTATTTCCATTTGCTCATGCTAAAAACTGCCTCAGAACTGGAAATAAACATTTGGTTTTTAGAAACGAAGCAACTCCGAATATATGTTCATTAAATCTTTTCTCCTTAAAACGATCTAACAAATCATCATCTGAAGTTTCGTATCGTAGTTAGGAAACACCCTGTATAACATTTCGCTTGATCGCAGTTGACATACTGCAGATACATTTTCATTCTTGAAAAATCATCTTTATTCTTAATTACCGCGTAAGCGAAATGAAATCGTGTGACAATATGAAAGGAAGATAGCATTTCAAATAGACCATGCGAGTCAAAAATTTGTGTGACGTCAAAAACTCTATGAATATATACTTCTAACATACTTTTGAGTGTGATCACTTTATTTTCTTGGATTTATTTATTCATGTATACGGGTAATTCCCTAAGAAAAAAGAAACATACAAATTCAGTAATACTTCAAAAACTAACTTAAACTTAATGTATGTATAAGAATACTCATGCTTATCCTAGATCATAAAAAAATACGATTCGAGTGACTGAACAAGCACCCACGTCGAACCGCCTGACTACCGACCGACCAATTTGACTGCCGTGTTGGTCGGTGGTTCAAGCCCTAGTCTGAATGATCGATTTTCACTTGCTATCGTCCAACCCGTGTTAGGAATTACACGTTAACAGGTAAGACCTCGTAAATCCTTAGCTCGCACAAGTTTCTACTTCTGAGGTTAGTTGTTCGTAGGGGTGCGACAGCTGGTTAACGGAAAAACAGAACAGATATTAAATTCGTACGAGTTCAATTATTATAAAATTGATAATATCGACTTATCAAGACTTAATGATAGGTACTCTCGACATAGGAATCTTATTCGGCAATAAATTTACATTCAATGGGCGCATTGAAAATATTTTTTACAGAACTTCTAAGTCTATAGTGGTGTAGTTCTGTCTGGAATCTTAATGAAACAAAATACGTTGATGCTTTGGAAGGTGTTCAGAAGAAATTCCTCAAGTTTGTGTATAATAAGATACATGGAAACTATACAGTTAGAAATTATGAATACACTTGTCTTCTGAATGAATTTAATTTTGTAACATTGAGGAAAAGACGAGAAATTGCAGACCTCATTTTCATCTATAGACTGGTTAATGGTGCCATGGACTCACCTACTCTATCGTTCTAAATACATTTTAGTGTCCCTCGATATACCTCCAGATCAAATGTCACATTCCGCATTAATGTACCCGATTCTCAGCGTCAGTTGTACATTCCAGTAACCTCCATGTGCCGAGGTTTCAATGATTACTCTATATATTTATTTTTTCGACCCTGAATCAATTTAGAAATAGTTTGTATAGATTATACTTCCATTTATCTAGATATAGTTACCTGCTCTATTATTGTATACTCCTTTTAATGGGCCTTAACCTGTTGGATTATTATAAGTGAATGAATAAATATCCGAATAATCATATTCTCCAACTATGAGGCCAGATTTGAAGGCAGCAAACCTCATGAATCCATTCTGTACCGCTTTAATATTATTTATATGTGATTTATAATCAAGAAACCAGACTGGTAACACATACAAACAGATCTTATATAGGCCAAGAAATTACCAAGAAGTTCATGAGCTTTATTGATGATGGTGTTGATGTAGGTGGTGAATGAAAAGTTCATATCAGAGAATATATCCAAAGCTTTTGTTTCATTGAGCAAATTTAGATTGACATCGCCTAGGACATAGTTGAAAAGGATTTTGTTATTTATTCTANTCCATAAGAAGAAACCGTCCTTGACGAAACAATGTCACATCCACGAACATAACACACGAAACGCTCACCACATTAGATTAAATCGATTTCGTCTTCACTTTTCGTAAAAAAATTCCATAGATCACTCTCTGTACAATATTTTGCCCCAAGATTTCAAAGAACTCAGTCTGAACACATACAAGAGAAAACTGAAAAATTATTTGTTGAGGCATTGCTTCTATTCTGTCGATGACTTCAGAACACATTTTTGTGGTAACATACAAGTCACTACTTCTTTTTGATTTTCAAAGTTTTTTTACATATGTGATCGTTGTGTAAATTTTAATTTGTGAATGTTGTGTGAATTTTAACTTGTAAATTTCAAATGTAAAGCCTAACATGACTTGCTACAAACATATTGTATTATGTAACGTAGTCAAATAAATATTATTATTATTGTATAGGATAGGTTAGGTTAGGTCCAAAGTGAGTGGGTCTATTCGACTCTACATCGCAACCCACAAGGGTTTATTGTGGCTCACATCTATTCACACTCGACCAAATGAACTCAGATGGTAAGAGTACTGCTTTGCCGAACTTTAAAAACCTGATTCGGTCCCAGTGGGGCAGGCACAAAGTATGTGCTCTGCTGCTTCATCATTTTCAAACAGAATTGGCACACACTATCTTCCGACAGTCCAAGTATCTGCATATGATGATTCAAATGCCAGTGACCTGTAAGAAGGCCTATTAGACATTGTAATTCATCCCTACTGTAGTCCAACAACTGTTTGGTATCAAGCTTTGAAGGGTGAATAAACGGCTTGGAGTGAGCCAATCCTGGAAGATTCTGCCAGAAGTCCATAAATCTTCTTGCCATCCAGGTGTTCAATGTTTGTTTGGCAAAGCCTGAAGCGATACCAATGACGGGTTCTGGTCCGATGATGCTGCTTGCAGCACCCTCCTTTGCAAGAATGTCAGCAGCCTCATTGGCGTCCAGGCCAATATGGCCAGGAATCAAGACCAAAATCAACCTGTTAAGTATTATTATCGAGGAGAGTCGTTTTAGGCAATTTGCTAATAATTTAGACGTTGCTCGGCAGCAGCCAGGAGCTTCCAATGCCGCTTGACTGATCGAGAATATTTTTATTAACTTGTGCATGATATTGGATTTTTCCAATCTCTCCGCACACAATTCAATAGCGTAAATTTCCGCTTGAAATACAGTCGCATAGGTTCCTAGGCAGGTTAATATCTCTGTCCCGGGTCTGCGACTGCACCAGAACCGGAAGGTGTTTTTGATCCATCTGTGACCCAACAACTATCTGCTCTATATATTTCCTTCTCCCGGAGGATCCAGTCCTCTCTACTCGGGAACAGTACTTTATAAGGCAGTTCGTAGTTGACAGTTGAAGACATAAAGTCAGAGGTCATTTCCAGAATGCTGTAACTTCCAGTGTCAACCAACAGTCTGTTGCACACTGCAGTAAATTGATTTGTGCAGTTGGCAATGTGCATAAGTCTATATGTAGTCCATCTAGTGTCTCTCTAGAATAATGTGGAGAGGCGAGGTAGGTCTAGAAGGATCTCCATGGCCGCTGACGGTGTGGTACTGATGGTACCACTGATGGCCAGACAAGCCTACCTTATATGACAATTTGAAAGGTGATAGGATGATAGCATTTCAAATAGACCATGCGAGTCAAAAGTACATGTGACGTCAAAAAACTCTATGAGTTAACACCTTCTACGCTTTGTTGGGGGAACATAGTTCTCATCCATTTTTTAAATACAACTTGCACAAAACAATCGGTATTAAATAAGTTTATAACTTTATTAACATGTACTGAAAATAAAATGAGTAATGACAGAAATATATTTACCCAGATAATTAGTCTTATAGTGCTACCATCTCTAGGTACCTGAGAATATAATTACACTCATCAGCACCCCCTGTCGGATGTTTCCCTAATATTTACATTTACTTTTCTATTGTTTACAATCAGTATTCTGTGGTGTCAGTTTTTGGTGACGGTGTGCGGGCGCTTCGTAAAAATTTACTCTCATCATTTTTTCCTAACGCGCCAACAGAAGTATAACTTCAAAAACATATTTCTCTCACATATCCACGTACAAATTCAACAAGCATATAACTGATCTGTATGCAAAAATGAAAGTTCTAAAATAATATTCAATGAGGCCTTATGGAATATGACATGACACAGTAAGTCTCTTATTTTTAGAATTTTCAACATAGGTAAATAATTTTTTTAAGAAACCAGGGAAAAACAATGTTAAAACAAAAATATACTCGACCGAGAGCCTCAACAAGTATCCACACTGAAAGAAAAATATTCTGTTTTTACATGCTATGACCGGATGTGACATAACTTCAACACTTTATGATTTACACAATTCTGCACAAATATTCCAACAAGAAAATTGAGCAAGAGATGCCCTTGTCAATCCTGGAATACATTTTCTACTAGCAATGTACGGTGCTTCAAAATCAGAAAATTCAATTGACAATTACAGATACTGTAGCTTTGCTTAACTAACAAGACATAGCATAGCTGTGAAATTTCAATTATTACCACCCACTTCTTCAGCAGCTCAACAGCATATGCATCGAGTCTATTATCAAATACAAAACTGGCTAGGAAAAGAAATTGATCCAGAACAGTGGGGTTGGGAGTGGAAAAATAATATATTACAACCAATAACAACTTTATTGCCACCAGCACCCGATGATCTACTAAACACAATCTTTTGTAACTGTACAAAAGGTTGTGGCGGCAAATGTGGATGTAAAAAAATTGGATTGACATGTTCTAAAGCTTGTGGACATTGTCGTGGTCAGTCATGCTTAAATGCAGAGTCCACTAGTCAAGAAAATGATGAAGATGTTGATTTAAATACAGCAATAAGTCCACTCGATGTTTTGTCAGCAACTTTTTATGAAGTTGAAATTGAGGATATCGACGGCGAATGAATATAAAAGAAAATTATATTTTTACACATAAAAAATTATTGAGCATAAAATGAAAAAAACTTTCTATCACAGTTCATGGATTATACCTACGGTGAAAAACATGTAAAAAAACGCGCCTTGCATTCTACCTCAAAGATGGTGCAGAAACGAGTGCATCATCATAATGTATTCGCTTTCTCAGCGCTCTAGTTCGATAACGGCAGACTTTGCAGAAAAATGCATGGACCATTTTTTGTAGATAATCGTATGAAAAATAATTTTTATAATGACCTCTTTTGACCTCCGAGCCATAGGTCGCGAGATATTCCCGAAAAATAGATTTTCGTGACCTTTTGACCCTTATAACTTTTTTATCCGGCACGATATCAATGCCGATTTCTCACATCTTCATTGAAACGCCATAATGAAGGTGTATATCAAAATTCAGCTCAGTAGGGTTTTTTCCGCCGATAAAACCTTAAATGACTGGACTACTTCAGCATCAATCTGGATAACATAATAAGATGAAGCACTCAATTCATTCATGAAACTACGACTTTACGTCATGAAAAATATGAAAATTGTAATGGACAACTTCAAATTAGAAAGGGCGTAAATTATAAGTATTTCATATTTTTCAGGTTGTGGAGGGTGAAAATATCCAAAGAAGGTCGATAAAAAAATGATTTTTCCCCACAAAAATTACTTTCGTTCAACATTTTTTGTATAAATCAATGATCATGTAAAATTAGTTGTTTTGAAATATTTTTTCTTTCGTGCGATTCAATGTTTATATGAAAGTAGTTGTTTTGAGAGGGGTTTTTTTCAGATCCCCACATTTTTTTGTATTTAGATGGAAGTAGAAAGCCAAAATATTCCTTTCCCAAAAATAATCTTCCCTAAAAATATACTTCTTTCAATTTTCGATATAAGGATATGAGCTGTTTCTATAAGAATGTTTTTTAAGAAAATTCGAAATCCATTTATTGAATACACTCTTGAGATATGGAGAGTGCTTGTTATACCTTTTTGAATTCATTATATGTAAGATAATCTTTAATCAAGGTTGATGTAGGTAATGAGGGTCTGTCTGCATTGTAAGTTCAACATAGTTTTAAGATGATTATGAGAAATTTTTTTCTAGGTATACGAATTCTGGAAAATCGACATATGTCCGGATTTCTGAAAAATACCCTGTATTTTTTCAAGAATGTCACATTTCCATTTATATAGATGTAACAAATCCACTCTTCCACGAATCAACTAGAAATCTGTTACTCTTCTAGCAATGAATTGAAAACTTTGACCAGGTGGCGGTGGGTGTTTGGTTGTCTTTTTCCTTAAAGATAATATATATTCATTTACATTATTCATTGTATTTTCGCAATGTTGTATTTTTATCTAGAGTCGATCAAAATTTTTCATTTCCTGTTCCCTGTCCTCATGAACATAAATAAAAGTGTATATATTATGTTGATTATTCCAAGACACAATATCAATTAAAAACCCATGAAAATAAATTTAAAATACAGCAGATTCTCCTATTAAAATTCCGCCCCACACAAACAAGACAAACTGTCCATTAAACCCTATTTATTCCAAGTTTTTTTGCCAAATTTCAGAGATCTATCTAGGAATACAAAGCAGCGGGCAGGTGAAATATTTTTTATAATCGCCAAAAATCAGCAGGTGGCATCAGGGTATTTGTTTCGCCTCTGGCTTCTATTACATTATTAGTAATGCTAAATGGTTTAATGATGGAGCATTTTCGACATTAGTAGTTCATCTATAAATCACACTCTATTAGAATGCCAGTGGTGTACCTATCTGGTGAATACTTGTGATATTTTTTCTGGCCTATCTAAATATCAAAGTTGATAGTATAGAATACCCAACCAACGAAATTGTTTTATAATTTCATGGTGCTGCAACAATTTTATTTTGTTGATATTTCATAATTACTTTCAAAGTGCTAATTGATTATATTAGACGAGCCGTGAACACAATACAGTTGTAGGCAATGAAAGTGTTTTATAAATTTGTCAAAGAAATGTCCATGAAATAAAATTGAAAAACCGTTTTTACAACAAACTCATAAAACATTTTCCTATAAAAGTAAATTATTTTGTAGCAGTTTCATAGCACTTTTCTGCGAGGTTTGTATGATCTTTATAAAACTATTTCAAGCTCATTTTATAACTGCTTCCTGTAGCTTTAATGAAATTATTTTATTGAAATGCTTCCAAACACAATTTTATTTTCATTGCCAAATTGTCACTTCAATGATAATTTCCCAACTATTTTATAGCATGGTATATTTACTACAATTCTAAAACAATAAAATAACTTATATAAAATCAAATTTCTTCCGCGAATATATATTTGATGTCGCCAGGAATAAAACGCATTTGAATATAACCAGCTGACATTGATTTAAGACGCCCTGTAATGAAGTATAATTTGTCGGTTTCATTTGACTAGCGTCCCAATAACTATATACCTAATAATGTCGTGTAACATTGGTCCTTGGAAAAAGAATTAGGAAAAGTAGTTCTTTTTAGATGAAGACTCACGTAACCTAGTACTCCAATTTTGTTCTTGCTCTAAATAGAAAAAGTTATCAATGAATAAAATCCGTCGATTTAAGTGGAGCACCATTTGTATATATCCTCAAATCACTATCTCGAAAATCCTTCGAAATTCAGCCTTTATAATCGATGGAAGAAGCTTTTTAGCCAAAACATCCCAGCAGATAATATTTATTCAAACTATACGTGACAAATCCTATATTCATACAATCACTTTTGTAGAAATCGATAGCTTTTAAAGTAGTCTGACTCTGCCGCAATACCATCACTCCTAGAATTGTTTCTAATAGTTTTATAGGGATAACTTAATAGCTAAAATACGTTGAAATGCTTGCTATTGATACTAATTAGAACGACGAAATGATAGAAATTCGAAATACTGACATTAAATGAGTTGAAAACATGAAATATATGGTGATAAATACATCTGAAAAATACATGGATATTATAGGATTATATTATTTAGAACAAACTGAGTTGAGTTTGTGACTAGAAAATGAATACGCCGACAGACCAAAAATTTTTATTGTTATCATTTTAGGCTACATTATATTTCATAACGCTTACTTGGAACTAAAAAGAAACTATAGGTATTTCATTATTTTATGAGTATCTTCACAAAACTACTTTCTGAGAGTTACTTTTATAGTAACTGCCGAAATGTTCATAAAACTCTTTTGAAGTGTCTGTAAAAGACCTGACAAAATATTAATGAAGACTATAATGTTTTATAAAATGGTGCAAATTTACTCCTTATAGCAGTTTTATAAACACATTGAAAACATTTCTGAGAGATATACAGTTTTATAATGTATTTCTTCGAAACGTTTTCGCAACTATTACAAAATATAAAATTGCTAGTTGGCTAGCATTTGCTCGTATAAGGAAAGAAAACTTTTAACATATAGTTAGTTTGAAATCAGAAAACCAACGTTTAATTGTTGTTTTTGATGGAGTGGAGTCCTTATAACAATTTTCAAGAAGCCATTTCTTCGCTTGAACGGTATGTTTTCCCATCAAGAAGCAGTGTAAAATTAAAACACGAAATTATTTTTGATCCATGGTTTTCAAAATAACAAAAATATTGTCATTCTTAGAACAATAACGCACAAACTTATGAGTAGCATATTATGAAATTTCAACAGCTTTCCTTCGAAGAATTGAAAAAGGTGGTGAATACAATAAGACTAGCGACATCTATGTGTCAGGCCCGAGATTTTTCAGCCTAGGTAGTAGATATGACAACATGGGATCCGTAACTATGTTATTATTCTGGTGTAGCAGACTATAACTACATCTACATATTTTTTCCTTTGTAGCAAAATACCCTACACTAAATAAACAACGCATCAGAGATAGATTGCATTCATTTAATGAATGACACACTGAGCATGAAATCTGAGCACCAAAACAATGGAGAATGAACTTCTTCCAACAGTTCAAATGTTAATTTTCATGAAAAATAGTGAAAAATAAAATAAGTAAGAAAAAAAAAGATAATGATGTGGATAATGTACTAAAAACTTGAAAATAAATTGGAAGGTCCTAGGTAGCAGTCATTATACCACTCTCCTCAGCAATCTACGGTATTGATCAGACAAAAAAAAATTAAATCGTTGGGCATAGCGTAACTTGAGTAAATATGTGAATACTACGTTTTTTTATTATGTGAGTGATGGAGTGTGGGGTGATGACTGCTACCTAGGACCTTCCAAATTATTTTCTAGTTTTTAGTACATTATCTACATCATCATAATCTTTTTTATCAATAAATACGTTTAACATATTCCGTTTCATAGCTTTTGTACTTTTGTACAATGAAATCATGCAGAAAAGTTTTCAGTTGATGTGATATATTGCTACAAAAACTTAACCTAACATAAAAGTCACATTTCATAAGGATTTTTGATTTTCCAACCCACCTATATACATGTATACACGCCTTTGCTTTCCTAGAATTATTTTTCGGAGGATGGGATTCAATGAAGAAATACTCATGAAATTGACCTCTACTTCTGAGAAAATATATTCTCTAGTATGGAAGAAAAAATCTAGAATCGAATGCCATAGATTACGTGCCCGTGAGGGGAGGTGGCATCGCCTTCAATTATCTTTATTTGATTTATATTTATGAAGACTTACGTATTAGGCTACATTTCATTTTTATATTTCAAAATTGAAATTAGCACGTAATGAAGAATAATAGTGAAACAAAATCTCTAAGTGTATCCGAAGTTTCAGAAAGCAACCTCAATGGAAGCGGTTCAGCGACGGCGTAACATCACCAGATATACGAAGTGCGGAGCCGGCTAGAAAACGTCAATACTTTCAGATAAGTATTTTTGTATAACGGTGTAAAAGTCCAACTATTTTTCAGTTGTTTTTTCATCTGTCTATGTTATGGAAGTATAAAGGATAAAACAGGCTCAAAAAAGTATTGTGTTGTTTGTTATCAGAAATTGAAATGTTAGCAAAGCCTTGCGAAGTGAAGATTCCATTATGCGAACTTGCTTTTTGTTACGAGTATCATTTTGATGTAGATGTATCACATGTATAACAAAGTGATAACAAAATGAATACATTCATACCTGATTATGAAGAGGGCCAACAAGATTTAGTCAAAGCCTCGGTAGATAATAGCATTATCATGTGGTGGGTTAAAGGGAACGACAGAAGTAAGGCTAATCGCATTGTCGATTCTTTAGCCAAGGAAGCAGCTGGACTAAGAATTTTAGAATCCAGTGACACCTACGGCCTGATGACTTCGACAATGGGGAATGTTTCAATGTTTTCATAAAAGAGCTCTAAAACAACGCATTTCAAACTTATCATTTCAACCTTTTTCTCTAAAAAAATATTTAAATACCTAAAAAAGAGGAATGAAATAATGCATTCAACATTTAAAGGGATTCGTTTCTATTTCACCATTTGGCAACATCGGTTATAGCTAATATAAAGGACAATGAATCTGTTACCTGTATGAGACAAACAAAGATGACATATTCCAGAGGCGCGCTGTTCTGTTTACTTATGTTCCGAGTTCCGAGACATTCTGTGACATATGACATTTTGTGCACCTAACCTATCTTCCCCTATATAAATAAATTTTTGTTCAAACTTGCATTTGCTGTAATAACCCAAATTGAGGAACATTCCCCATTGCGGAACTAGCCAAACGTCACACCCATGCTCAATCCCTAAGAAATGGGATGGAATCAAAGGATGCAGTCTTGCCAGGATCTGGCGATGACCAGGAAAACACTACGCTTAACAGTTAAGATTTCTGATTGGCCACTGTCAACTAAGGAAACACCTCCATATTATGGTGCTAGTGGACACACCTCTATGCAGGATGTGTGAACAGGAAGATGAAACTGTCAAGCTTGTCTTATGCGAGTGTCCGGAGTTATCGTCAATAAGAGAGTGTGTGTTCGGCGAGTCTTGACCTACACCTGCCGATATAAAGGAAATGTCTCCTAGTGATCTGTCCACCTTCCTGGAAAGGACAGGATGGACGATGAGCTAGAAGGACAACTCCTCGTGACCTAAGTGCTGTGGGCTTATACTCACCCTAACTCTATTCATTACTTGAACATATCAATACAGTCAAATATATTATACCACTTGTATTCCGCATTGCTGCAAAAATTTGAATATGAATAGTGGGACTTCAGAAATGCTTTCAATCATCGAATTTGTCAAAGAAACTCAGCCTTTATTTCTATTGACATATTCCATAACCATGACTAAGTCCAACTGATATAAGTTGTGAATTTCTTGTTTCTACCTTGATAAAACTCTCCTGGACTGAAAACACCTTCCTTCGAACCTCAAAAATTCAATAAGCAGCTTCATAACAGCTCAGACGTGATTCAGACGCTGGTCTGAAGTCACACATATCTCGTGACGTCTCACAAGCTTTTGACAAAGGCACAGTCTTGAAGTCACATAACTTGATAAGGGTAAATGCTATCAATTTTCAATTTCAACCATTGAATCTTAGATCGAACTGAAATTATATAATAATAATGATAATAATAAATGGTCTTTACGTGGCGGAGTTGTTTAGCAAAGCGCTATTCTTCCACTTAACCCCGTTTGAAGAANTCAGCATTCCATTTTTTCAACCATGTCTGGAGTTAGAACTTGTGAAATGTGCATTTTTTTATGTCTTTAGGAAAACAAGAAATTAACCACCAGTTATTATGAAATCCGAATGAAATGTCCAAGTTATAACAATAAAATCAATTGTAATCTTGAAAGGAAGCGTACAATTTGTAAACACGGCATTCGTGACACCTACCAACTTCCGCATCAAGTGACGGAAGAGACCTGTGTTTAACAAAATTACAGAACACGTGTAAATAAATTGGTCGGATAAAACAATTCGATCTTGCACCTGCATTTCTCTTCTATTTCAAATTTCAAACAACAATTATCATATTATGGACAGTATACAACTGCGTGTCATGATCAAATTCTGAGATAAAGAGGAGTGATTACTAGACAATAGCTAAGGAACAGTTGACGGAAGGATAATTGGAACAAACTGATATATCAGCCGATAATTAGGTTAGGTAACGTTACATATTTAATATTCCATATGGAAAATGCAGAGTAGACTTAAAAATGAATTTTAATAAAAATTTTTCATTCATTTTGAATCAGTACTCTTGCCAACTTAACACAAGTCGATTAATTCCGTCACTATAGAAAGGCCGTCACCAAAGGCCGTTTTTGCCTAGTCCTGATTGGCGAAGGTTCTATCAGTTACCGGTGAGAAAGTTGTCGAAGTGCTTCAAAGGAAAGTAGTCTGTTGGCGAGAGGTCTTGGAAGTATGGTGGATGAGACAAAACTTCGACGCTCGATTCTTTTGGTTTTCGGACGGTGATTTGTAAAATGTGTGGATGGGCGTTGTCATGAAACAGGCCCTGTTGACCAGTTTTATTATGCATAAAATGTACATTTTATACATAAAGGAAAATGGTTAGCCAGAGGCTACCTTCTACCTCTCCCAAAATTCATATAGTTAGTGCAAGAAAATGGCGATAAAATAAAAATACTTATTTACTATCGAAACAATAATAGAGAAGAGAGAAAAAGAAAGAAAAAACTGATACAATCATATAGGTGCTAACAACTAGCAATATTCTTAACATTCTATTGGTCAATTCAACGATTTCATTACAATTACAATTGCATCTTAAATTAGCACTGAGCACTAA